CCAGCGGCTTCGGCAGAGCAGCCGGAGATCTGCTCTCTCCCCACCTAGAGCTCCGGGCCCCACAAAGAGCCGCGGAAGCTGTATTTATAGGGGCGGGGGCGGGGCTTGGCACCAGGAAGCCCCGCCCTCCAGCGCCCACTCTGGGAATAACGTCACCAAAATCATGAATGGCTTCAGCGCTCGCAGCCCGTGCGGGAGGCGGCTCGGGGGCGCGCTCGGCGCGGATCCCCGGAGCGCTGTGGTTTGCTGCAGCTCCTAGCCCGGCCCCCCTCCCCGCGACTCTCACACACGCAGACACGCGCGGGTACACACGCAAGCACGCGCGCGCGCGCGCGCGCAGCCGAGCTGGAGTCCAATGTCAGCGCCGCTTTCCGCTCACACTCGCGTCCGCGTCCGCACACCCCTTCCCCGCGCACGCCCCGGGGACCCTGGGGCCGAGGTGGTGGTGGTGAGGACGCGCCGAGCCGCTCCGGACGTGGCTGCTTCGCGGCTCACTGCGCCTGGGGACAGCGGTGTTCTGCGACCCTGGCCACCTGGCCTCAGCGCCCTCCTGCGTACCCAGCTACCCAGCCCACCCATCCAGACCCTTTTCAGCGTTCAGCGCCCCCCTCCTCTTGGTAGCTTGCGCTGGAACCACCGCCCCTGTCCCCTCGGGCATGCTGGGTGGAAGTTAAACTCACCGCTCAAAGTAATGACAAGGTGGGAGGCGACACGGAGCTGGGGGGGCTACGCGGCCGCACAAGGGGGGCTAGTCTGCAGCTCTGAGATCCACGGTGGGATCTTCTTCTGAACGAACACATACACGCGGCGGGCTGCTGCGTGAGAGCGCGCAAACACACCCCACCTGCCTGAGCTCCCAGGTGGGTCCCAAGGGGTCAGTCCATCTGTGAGAGAAGAAACAAAGAGCTGGTGATGCATGCGAACCCTTTCCGCACGCCCAGCAATCGCAGCTCCAAGACAATCAGTCCAGGCGATCAGACTGCGCAGCCCCCAGAGTCTGAAAGGAGCCTCACTCCAGACCCTGCGCTGCCCCTCTGTGGCTGGAGCGTGCCGCTGCTTCATTTCCTCCTGCAAATGATCAGCGCACCCCGACGTGTGTGTGTGTGTGTGTGTGTGTGTAGGTTGTACAATCAGCTGGTTGTATTGAAGAAAGGCAGTGAGTGTATTGAATCAATGGGTACGTGCGTAAAAACGGAAACCGGCGAAAGGATGCTGAGATTAATGGTGAGTGTTAGCAACTCTAGGATCATAAGGAGGCTGAGCCTTACCAAGCATTGTTTTCACCCCAAACCAACCTTCTAAAAGAATGTATAAGCATAATTTTTAAATGTAAACTTTGCTGTGTTTAATCATTCATATCCACAATCTGAATTATAACTCATAGTGCAGGGAGGGGCCTATGAAACGTAGCTCCAGGACCAGTTCCCCCCCTGCCCCTTCCAACCAAAAACCCATTGGGCTGCATAGCTGGACCTCCATTCTGTTGCCCAAATGGCAGTGTTCTGGCAGAAGGCCATGTCTTCATGGGCAGGAGCTAACAGCAGGTGCTTTAGGCGTGGGACCCCTATGAACAGTAGGGACTGTGTGCATTGGATGGAGAGCCTTCAGCATCATCAGCTGAGGATGACCTGTTGCCTTCCATATGACTGAAGGAGAAGTCAAAGCTGAAAGACCAGGTTTATAGGCTGGGATCTTAGGAGAACCTAGAGCTGTGCCCTGGGTAATCAGGGTCTTTTCTCCCCAGACTGGCCATGGCAGGCAGGGGGGCGTGGGGGGTGGAGATGAATGACCATTTCAAGTTCTACATCCCAACAGCCTCACTTTACCCATTTGTGATTATTGCCTTGTGAAACTTGCAAAACTCTTAGAAAGCTAACTTCCTACTGCTAACACGCATGCACGCACGCACGCACACCCTACAGCCCCTACCTTAAGTGTCAGAATGTCCTCTTTTGGAGAAGTAAGGTTTCCACCAGCAGGTATCTAGTCTCTGGGGTGGCGGGTGTGGAAATCCCCTAGATTGGGGAACATTGGGGTAATAAACGTATATCCACTATTTATTAGGAACCGTGGTGGTTCAGCAGTTGAAGTCTTACCTTCCATATGGGGGACCCAGGTTTAGTTTGTGGCCAGTGCACCTCAAATACCGACCCTGCTGGACTATCACTGGAGGCTTGTGTATTGCTGTGATGCTGAACCAGTTTCAGTGAAGCTTCCAGACTAAGATGAGCTAGAAAGGCAATCTAGGTGCATGAGGTTCTCAGGAGTGGAGAGGCTAGCCAGCCTCTGACAGTAGCCTTGGCAGGGTCTTTATTAATAACCTATTGCCCATTGTAATGTAGGAAGAAAGAGGAGGCTTTCTGTTCCTATAAAGAATCACAGTCTCAAAAACCCACAGGGGCAGATCTACCCTGTTGCTAGGAGTCAGAATCGATTCAATGGTAGTGCATTGTGGTTGTATTGTGATTTAACATAACCTCTGTGGGTGAGTTGGAGAAGAAAGTAAGCCTCCTGGGACTTTGATGATTCCTTCATTTGAAAAACAAAACAGAGAGATGTGGCACTAAACTTGGCTGCAAGGGCAGCAAGTAAAGTCTATGTCTGCCAGTTCTCAATCATCTTATTTTATATTTATATCATGTATTGCAGATTTTCCAAGCATTTTCACAACTTGCCGCCCCCATTTTATAGATATTCAAAGCGAGTCTGAAAGAAATGAGGGGACTTGCCACAGATCATCCAGCTAGTGAGTGGTTGGAACTCGAGAACTTGGAGACACGCTCACTTTCCATTTCTGCAGCAGAATGTTCCGCTCTGCTACATGACATTGCTTTGGGTCACTGCATTTTCTCCCTTCCTCTACAGCAGTGGGTTCTCAGCCTTCCTCATTCCGTGACCCTTGAATACAGTGCCTCAGGTTGTGGTGATCCCCAACCATAAAATTATTTTTGTTGCTACTTCCTCACTGTCATTTTGCTACTGTTATGAATCAGGGGACCCCTGTGAAAGAGTCGATTGACCTCCCCAGAGGGGTCGTGACCCACAGGTTGAGAACCGCTACTCTAGAGTCTGTCACCAGGCAGACTGG